CCAGATCCCGCTGTTGGTTATTGACCGGAGAGTCGTCTCGGTCATGTCTGCGTGTCTCCCGAACCCGTAGGGTCTACACACTTAAGGTTCGGTGACGCTAGGGTTGTTGAGATATTAGTATACGGTAACCCGAAAGTTGTTCGGAGTCCCGGATGAGATCCCGGACGTCACGAGGAGTTCCGGAATGGTTCGGAGGTGAAGATTTATATATAGGAAGTCAAGTTTCGGCCATCGGGAAAGTTTCGGGGGTAATCGGTATTGTACCGGGACCACCGGAAGGGTCCCAGGTCCACCGGGTGGGGCCATCTATCCCGGAGGGCCCCATGGGCTGAAGTGGGAGGGGAACCAGCCCCTAGTGGGCTAGTGCGCCCCCCATGGGCCTCCCCTGCGCCTAGGGTTGAAAACCCTAGGGGTGGGGGCGCCCCACTTGGCTTGGGGGGCACTCCACCCCCCTTGGCCGCCGCCCCCCTTGGAGATCCCATCTCCTAGGGCCGGTGCCCCCCTAGGGGTCCTATATATAGTGGGGGGAGGGAGGGCAGCCGCACCCTAGCCCCTGGCGCCTCCCTCTCCCTCCCGTGACACTTCTCCCTCTCCCTGAGCTTGGCGAAGCCCTGCCGAGATCACCATTGCTTCCACCACCACGCCGTCGTGCTGCTGGATCTCCATCAACCTCTCCTTCCCCTTGCTGGATCAAGTTGGAGGAGACGTCTTCCCAACCGTACGTGTGTTGAACGCGGAGGTGCCGTCCGTTCGGCGCTAGGTCATCGGTGATTTGGATCACGACGGGTACGCCTCCATCAACCTCGTTCTCTTGAACGCTTTCGCTCGCAATCTACAAGGGTATGTAGATGCACTCCCCTCTCTCTCGTTGCTAGATGACTCCATAGATTGATCTTGGTGATGCATAATTTTAAAATTCTGCTACGTTCCCCAACAGTGGCATCATGAGCTAGGTCTATGTGTAGTTTCTTTGCACGAGTAGAACACAAAGCAGTTGTGGGCGTCGATATTGTCAATTTACTTGCCGTTACTAGTCTTATCTTGATTCGGCGGCATCGTGGGATGAAGCGGCCCGGACCGACCTTACACGTACGCTTACGTGAGACTGATTCCACCGACTGACATGCACTAGTTGCATAAGGTGACCAGCGGGTGTCTGTCTCTCCCACTTTAGTCGGATCGGATTTGATGAAAAGGGTCCTTATGAAGGGTAAATAGAAATTGGCATATCACGTTGTGGTTTTGGCGTAGGTAAGAAACGTTCTTGCTAGAAACGTATAACAGCCACGTAAAAACTTGCAACAACAATTAGAGGACGTCTAACTTGCAGCAACAAGTAGAAAGAGATTTCTCGGTTATGCTTGGTTCTGTTGATTGCATGCATTTGCAATGAAAGAATTGCCTGAAAGGTTTGCATAGACATTACCAAGGTCACTCCAAAGAGGCCACTACCATACTTGAAGCAATGACATTAAAAGACTTGTGGATTAGGCAGACTTTCTTTGGCATGCCTCGTTCTCACAATGATATCAATATGCTCCAGCGATATCTGTTGTTCAAGAGACTTGCAATGGGCATGCTCCGAGATGCAACTACACTATCAAAAGACACAACTATACAACGGGGTGCTACCTTGCGATGGTATCTATCATCGGCCGGCGGCTTTCGTGAAGACTATATCCAAAGCCCCGAGGTAGGAAAGAATGTGTGTTTGCACAAATGCAAGAAGGTGCTAGAAATAGTGTGAAAAGGGTATTCGGTGTACTCCAAGCTCATTGGGGTATTGTTCGTGGAGCTACAATGATGCGGGAACCGAAACATTGTGGCTGATGACATGTTATGTAATCTTGTACAACATGGCCGTGGAGGTTCGAAGTACAAGTCCGCCTCCTAGAATAAGATGTGGGGCATGTTGGGAACTTTCTAGAGATACATAGACAATTTCGAGACCAACAGGTGCACGTGCAACGGAATTATCTTGTGGAGTATATGCGGGTCCAATCTAGAAATCAATGAATTTCATGTTTGAATTATGCACTTCGAATAAGTTTTATGTTTGAATTATGTATTTTTATGTACACATTTTTTTTGGTATGAGGTATCCACTCACTGTTATCATGTATTATCAAATAATGGACGTGCATGTATTTGGATGAATTTGAGATTTCAAAAATGAAGGTTGTGGTTGTAAAAGAGAACATGGGGCGGACTGGCGCTGCCCATGGAGTGTCCGGACGCACCCGTGGACGTTTAGTGCATCGGATTTGACCACTTTAGTGCAAATGACCAACGAGATCCCCCGTTCCCCACCGTTCATTCAAGCCATGCTGAAAAAACATTCATTCAAGCATAACGGGGTCTTGGCCTCTGCCATGTCCGATCGTACATTTACAGGCCCGTGGCCAACTCAACAGGTGTCAGGGTCCACGAACGAGAGCCCTTGCTACGACGGCGACGACGAAGGCCAGACTTCTCCTTGCTGCTCTGTTGACGTTCCCGCGGGAGTACTGAGGCGTCGGAGTGGCCTTGGATCCAGACCCTGCGTCAGATCCAGAGACAGAAAATGGCGCTCCGATTAGCTCACCGCCATGCGCTCCGATCATCTCCACGGGCCTATTCCAAAACGTTTGCAGGAGGTTCTGCTGCACGTACCTGCCGGCGTAGCGTCTGGATCGTAGGGCGTCGCCGGAGAAGACAGCGGAACGCCCATGGCTGCACGGCACAAATGGCACGACGTTATTTTCTGCACTTGTGGTGTCGTTCGTACTTGCGCAATGTGGACTCACCGTCGCACTGGCTGGCGGGCGGCGCCTGGACCCTGCACGCCGCGGGCATCTGCAGCGCGCGGGCACCGTCCAGGGCGACGCCGAGCGTGGCCGCCGTGCCGCCGAGCACCGCGCAGAGGCACTGCGGGCTGGACCGCAGCACGCCGGACACCGCCGCGCAGCACGGCTCCCCGGGCGCCGTCGCGTCGCCCGACATGTAGCCCATGCACGGCGACAGGCTCACGAGCTCCGGCATGCACCCGGAGCCCCCGCTGACCCCTGAGGGCGCCGGCGCCGGCGCCTCGGCCTGCGCCGCGCACCGGCACGCCATCAGCGCGGCCGTCACGGCCAGGGCAAGGCCGAGCAACGCGACGTTGGCGTAAGTCGTTCCCATTGGACCTGCTGTAATTCTTCCTTGTGTGTGATGAGCAAGCTGTGCGTGGCACTGGTACGCACATATCCTCTCTTATTTTGTAGCAAGAACCATTCTCTTTCTTGACACTGACAGACCATGGTCCATAATAGTAGCAATTAGTTAGGTTGGTCGCGCCGGTGAGCCCAGGCTATTTTTGCATATGCATTCGCCATTGTTCGGTCAACTTCTCGCCAAATCCTTGGATTTCGCTTTCATGGCGAGTCAGTCAGAGTCTCCAAGACAGAGAGAGCAGTGCACCTGCAAACTTTCTGGATTCATCTGGTCACAATCGTCCTAGCTACCCGACGTCCTGATCACCTAAACGCATCGGCACAAGCGGTTCGCGCAACCACCATGACCGCGGCCACCGCCCGCCGCACGGCCGTCGTGGCCACGCCCTTGCCCCAGTGCGCGCGCGCCAGCACGTACCCGAGCTCCGCGCGGCACGCGTCGTCCGTCGGTGACACGGAGATCGCGCCGACGGGGCGGTCGTCGTCGCCGGCGAGGCAGATGGCCCGGAACCAAGGGTGCGGCAGCACGGCGTCGCGGATGAAGGCGAGCAGGGGCTCCGTGGACTCGTAGGGCTCCCAGCGGCAGGGGGCGGCCACCTGCGGGTCCGACGCCCACGCCATCATGGCGTCCACGTCGGCGAGGCTGAACCGCCGGAGCGTCACCTCCACGGCCGGTTTCTTTGCGGACAGCGCTTCTTGGCCGCGCTCCATTTGCTGTGTGCTGCTGCTGATCGAGAGGGGGCCTTGCGATGGTGGGTAGTAAGCTCAGCGGTGCAGCTGGTGGGCTGTGTTTATAGATGGAACCAGAGTACCAGCCAGAGCAAGCGCCTGCTCTGTTTGACCACCACGGTCACACTACTAATTGTGGCTAGGAATCTTGATCGCCAAGTAAGTTTGCCGTGAGCTAAGATGCTGAGATGGTTTGTTCGTTTCTTTCTTTCAGGCTAGTTATAGTGAGAGTAACTTAGCTAGTACTTCACGCATAAGAATTGTCTGAAGTCAAGCTTCATAAAGTTTGATCATATTTATATGAAAAAATATTAATATCTACAATACTAAATTTATACAATATGAAAACTAAAATCATGACGCATCTAATGTTGTTGATTTTCACATTCTGAATGTTGGTATTTTTCTTCATAAATTCGGTCAAAGTTTACGAGGTTTGACTTCAGACAAACCTTATATGCGAACTAAAAAGGACCGGAGGGAGTAACATAGCACACTCAAAGAAATCTTTGCTTATGTGGCAAATAATTAATGAGAGGTGGTAACATAGCATTTTCCAAGACAAGATGAGTCTACAAGCTAATAAATGAAGCCATATAAGATACTAGCATTATGTTACTTTGCATTATGTTACTTTGCATTATGAAGATAATAACATGACACTAGTCTAAGTTATTCCCCACTATGACTAACCTTAGAAATTTCAGACGAATTAGAGACAAGAAAAGGACAGGCAAAGTGTCCAGGATGATGGATGGATGGGGAAAGAAGGAGTAAGAAGGTGCGGGCGGCTACGTTGAAGTCAACGGTCAACATGACCGTGACATGTTAACAATCAAACAAATCAGCAGAGACTGAAAGCAACATATCTAGAGAGCTGGGGTCACAGGGATGGATGTATTCTTTTTGATACGTGATGCTCTTCATTGACTCATAGTCGGAATACAAACACCGTAAACATTGTCAGTTACATTTCTACGTGTTCTTCAGCTACTCTCTCCGTTCCGAATTACTTGTCTTAAATTTGTCTAGATATGAAGGTATCTAGCAGCTCAGAGACCCTCTTTATACTTCTTCCAGTCAAGAGATCGCTTCCTCTCCACCATGATCAGGGGTGTGATGGACGGGTTTCACATATACGCCAATTGCATGAAGATATCTCCCCGCGCGCGCGAAGAAGCCAACCATTTTGGAATTGCGTTCCACTCGGTTGCGGAACGGACTTCCTCGCCCTTCCCCGAAAGGTCCATATGTACCCTCATTGGTGACCATCGTCAGCGATGTTATAACGTTGGAATACGATCTGCCGAATCTGCCGACTGTTCCAGAAATTTCTGTCACAAATTCCGACGGCCGAAGCTTAATCTGCAGGCAAAAGGAGATGCATTACAAAGTAAATAACTTTTGCAAGTACTCCCTCCGTCCGGAAATACTTGTCTCTAGACATATTTTAGTTCTAGATACATCCATTTTTATACATTTCTTCGACAAGTATTTTCGGACGGAGGGAGTATTACATGGCAGAAGGTTCACTATATATACACTCACCTTATGCCCAGCATTGCCCTCCCATGGGCCACCCCACGGACCAACATTGTGCTCATGCCCACTATGATCAGTATATGAAAACTCAAGTACATCAACTATAACGCCACTGTAAACTGTCACGCTTTCCAGACGGTGGGGTGCGACTGTGATGTCGTAAGCCGTTCCTCCATTTCCTCCCCAAGGCCCAAGCTTAGTAGCCACGGGCTCCTGAGACTGCACTCCAAGCAAGAAAAGGTTGAAAGGAAAATTTAGAAGAGAAAATAATAATAAGATGAGCTATATAGCTAGAGAAACAAATACCTCCTCCTGCTCTTCTCCTGGACAAGAGACCACCTCCTCTCCATCATGATCGGTGGTGTGACTGATGCGACTCACATACACGCCAATTGCATCGAGATGGCTCCCTGCGCGCGCAAAGAAGCCAACAATGTTGGAATTTCTTTCCATTGGGACGCGGAATCGACTTCCTCCTCCGCGCCCGAAAGGTCCATATCTATCCTGATTGGTGACCAGTGCCAGCGATGTTATAACATTGTTGGAGTGAGTTCTGAAAAATGTGCCGATTGTTCCAGCCATTTCCGTCAGAAACTCCGATGGCTGAAGCTTAATCTGCAGGCACATAAAAACGCATTACTAAGTAAAATACTTTTGCAAGTATTGCTTGCAGAAGGTTTACTACACACTCACCGTATACCCATCACCGCTCATTGAACCACCCCACTGACCAACATTGCGCTGATGTCCACTATGATCAGTATATGAGAACTTAAGTTGATCAACTATAATGCCACTGTAAATTGTCACACTTTTCAGACGGTGGGGTGTTACTGTGATGTCATAAGCCATTCCTCCATTTCCACCCCAAGGCCCAAGCCTAGTAACTACTGGCTCCTGGGACTGCAATCCAAGCAAGAAAAGGTTGAAAAGAAATTTTAGTAAAAATAATAAGATAAGATATATCTCTATAGTAATAAGCACCTTGTCCTGCTCTTCTCCTTCTTTCAGTTCATGGATAACATCCTCTATAGTAGGCCTATTGCCTTTATCAGCATCCACACAATTTACTGCTATTTTGATGCATCTCTTGACTTGTCGACAATCTACTTCAGCAATCCTTTTCCTCCAATTCTTGTTTACCTACACAAACGAATTACAATCATGATATACTGTTGTTGGAGTAGTATATATAATGTATATTGCATTCTGTTCATCAAAATGAATTCGTGGTGCAGAGAAATAGCTTCTCGTACATGCTGAATAAATTCTTCAGAAGACGACATATCTGCATATTTGAAACGGCCCAGAGGTCCCGCAATTATCTCTATGATTATCACACCTAAGCTGAATATGTCATACTTTTCGGAGATTTGGCGCTTTTGTATGTACTCTGGTGGCATGTAGGCCCTGCATGATGGCACACGCAATAGTTTTCATACAGAGATAGTAAAATAAGCTGATCATTTCTCATGGGTTATCAACTTACAGTGTTCCAGCAAGTATTTTTGTGGTAAAGGTTTTTGTTGAAGCAAAGAGTCTTGACAAACCAAAATCTCCTATTTTTGGCATCATTTCCTCATCTAACAATATGTTCGCAGGCTTCAAGTCAAGATGGTACATAGGGTCATTCGATCCCTTGTGAAGGTAATTTAATCCTTCACAGATTCCCTTAATTATTTTGTAACGTGTGTGCCAATCAAGTCCAGAAAATTCATCTGTAGAAGTAAGCACCAAGTGTGATACAAAGAACAAGTAAATTTAGAGGTAATTTTCCTTTACATGCAAAAATAATAGTCTGAGCAGAGCATGTTCATACCAGAAAGATGCCTATCAAGGCTACCACCCCGCAAGTATTCGAAGCAGAGAGCTCTTTCTTCTACTCTAGCAAAAACATATTCTCCTTTGAGTTCATGATGTATATGGCGTATCTCATAGCAGTAGCCAACTAATCGGATGATATTCTGATGTTGGACCCTCATGAGGTTATTAAATTCATGCTTGAATTGCTCATCATTAAGTCCTGGCATGTAATGGAGCTTCTTCACAGCGATCTCTTGCCTGTTATCCAACACCCCCTGTTGAAATTCTCTTGTCAACAAATGAGTATCATTCAAAAAATATAAGCGCTATATTGATCATACCTTGTATACTTCTCCGAACCCACCAGTGCCAACCTTGTGCTCCTCGGAGAATCCATTCGTAACTTCTTCTAATAATGAATACTTCAGATCCTTTGGTTCCAGATGTAAGTTCTCCATGATATACTATGTCAGTATATCTGTTATCTTCAACCCTTTATGAAATAGAATTACTGAGCAAGAAAAGGCATATCAAGATAAAGCTAAAATAAAGACTAGTAGATATTTTCTCGAAAGAAGATTCAAATTTACGGTATATGCGCTAAGATTGACTATTTAAAAAATGGCAAGCATAAAACGAAATGTTAGATATGTTCTTCAGCATCATAATCATCATATTGAGTTTTTTTGTTGTTGCGATAAAGCCCCTAGATCTCTTAATAAGATTCAAAAGCACTAGCAGAAAGCACCTTAGGTATTATAAAAATTACACCCAGGTCATCGGATCGGACCACCACGCAACACCAACTGCCGCCGGGAGGAGCGGCGGCTCGGCCCTCCCTCGCCGGAGCCAGCCACACCTTGCAGAAGCGGACAGCTGGGAAGTCTTGGAGCTACGATCCCCCAGGAGCAACGCCCAGCGGAGAATCCCATCGCCTTTGAAGCCAAATCAAGATCCAGAAACCGAAGGAGCAGTCTGCGCACCCCCACCAGCTTCACGGCGGTGCCAAAGCCACCACGGCAACGGCATCGAAGGAGAAGCCGAGGGACAAAAGGCCCCAATAGCACCAGCGCCTTCGACTCCCCAATCCGGAGAGGCTTTATTAAGTTTAATGACGACCAACATGGTCTCTGGATCTAACTAACTAGTACAGGAATCACAAGTGAAAGCAACTGCAGGAAAGCACTGACCGGGAGAGGCCTGTAGGCTGTAGGCTTGCTTGATCCCCCTGGCTGGAGATGTCGAGATAGTACTATATATGTGATGTCGATGTAGATGGATCATGCAAAATTTGCAGGGTTTAGCTTGGAGCAGGCTTGACATATACGAGTAGTATGTGACAGATTGTAGCACTCCACAGCTCACACCACCCGTCTCTTTTTATAGCCTTTTTTCTTTTCTTTCTGCGATGACTTTGTACTTCCCCCACTCCCTGGTGTAAAAGACGCTCTTATATTATGAGACGGAGGGAGTAGTTTACAAGTAAATGACACACTTGCAATATTGAGAAATGTTACCTCTTCTGCACAAGGGGGAAGGGAGCAGGTACAATGCACGAGCGGAAGGATGGCTTGGCCGCGTGCTCACATCACATGCATGGGAGAGTATTTTCGTTTGACAGCTCTTTCAATGTGATGTTACTTTCTTGATGATTAGATTGATCAGGACCAATTGCAACATGGTGCGTAACATATAGTACTAGTATGTGCTACTAGTTGCGAGGTCTGCTTCCACGAAATCACTCGTTCGCCGTCGCTTAGTTGCGTCGTCGCCAGCGCATTGTCTTTCTTGTAAACGCTCGTTGGATAGATGTGCCTCGGACAGGGACATGTCTACGTTTATATATGACAAAAAAAATGAGACATACGCGTTACATGCATAGGGAACGAAAGGTCCGCCATGAAAGTAAAAAGGATTTGACAGGGACATATCTGAGCGTTATAAATAAGAGAGAAAAAAATATGTTTTTCGCCACTCAAGTTCCCGGGAAGTCTACATGGTCCCTCTAGAATTTTTCAGCGACATTTGCTCTCTCAGCGAGACAAATTTAGTCCAAAACCAGATTTAGAGAGGCAAACCAGCCACCTGTCCTCTTTTATCTCTATCTTCTCCAGCTGTGTTAACTACATGGGCTTGCTGCTAAGAAAAACCGAAAATCCATGTGCGCTACCATCGGCACCCAACCATCCATCTGAGCCATCGCCGCGTGCCACCGCGCCATCCACCTGCCCCTATCCCTGTCTGTGCGCTATTGGGCACCTGCGTCGCACCGCCCCCCATCTGAGTTACTTTGTATTTTTTTGAATTCCAGATCCAAATAAGTGTATCTGTAATTGTTATGAGCATGAATAAAGTTACAGGTGTTTCAAAAAAAAAACTAGTTTTTCTCCATTGTTTTTTGACACGTTTCGATTCAAATTTTTTCTCTCACGTCTCCTTAGCCTCCCACATGCCCACGTTTTCCCAAAGCCCTCCTAGCTGAGGTCAAAGGGCTTACAACAAGCCCAAAAAACAACTAGCCAACGCACAATTTTCTCTTCAAATGTTAAAGAAACATTGCTATTTGACCATCGGTGCACATTATTAGTATGCCATTTACACATAAGTGGATTTTTTCCAATGTTAAAATATTCCCATGGTGTTTGTGCGTATATTATCATACGTGGGTGCACAAGTTTGATTCTTGTTGAGGCACATATTTGCTTTCGCGAGAGACACAACTAAAGAAAAAACACATTTTTTCTTCCATGAGATGAACAAGTTTGCTTCTTGTGGAGGCACGGGTTTGCTTCCATAAGAGGCACATATTTGCTTCTCGTGGAAGCACAGATTCGCAGTTGTGTCTCTCGAAAAGAGAAAAAATATATATGGTTTTTGCTTCAACGAGAGGCACGGGTTTGCTTCTTGTGGAGGCACAGGTTTTCTTCCGCAAGAGGCTCAGCTGTGCATCTAAAAAACATATTTTTTTTCATGAGTGGCACCTATTTGCTTCTCGTGGAGGCAAAAATTTGCTTCCGCGGGAACCATAGTTGTGCCTCTCAGAAAAGGAAAAGAAGTGAAAAAACACGTATTTTCGGCTATGTTTTTTCCGAGTTTTTCGGTGGAAAAAGTTTCGTTGAAACCTATTAACATGAATCTAGTTTTGAATCTTGACGCTGAAAGATTGAGGATGCCGCCTAGAGGGGGGGTGAATATGCGCTTTAAAATAATTATGATATAGACTTGAACAAATGCGGAATAAACCTAGCGGTTAATTTGCCAAGCACAAAACCTAAAACAACTAGGCTCACCTATGTGCACCAACAACTTATGCTAAGCACGATAAGCAACTATGTGATAGCAAGAAATATGACAAAGAACAATATGTCTATCACAAAGTAAAGTGCATAAGTAAAGGGCTCGGGTAAGAGATAACCGAGGCACGCAAAGACGACGATGTATCCCGAAGTTCACACCCTTGCGGATGATAATCTCCGTTTGGAGCGGTGTGGAGGCACAATGCTTCCCAAGAAGCCACTAGGGACACCGTAATCTCCTCACGCCCTCGCACAATGCAAGATGTCGTGATTCCACTAAGGGACCCTTGAGGGCGGTCACCGAACCCGTACAAATGGCAACCCTTGGGGGCGGTCACCGAACCCGTACACTTTGGCAACCCTTGGGGGCGGTCACCGAAACCCGTCAAATTGCCCGGGGCGATCTCCACAACCTAATTGGAGACCCCGATGTTTGCCCGGAGCTTTACATCATAATGATTGAGCTCCGAACACCACCAACCATCTAGGGCGCCCAAGCACCCAAGAGGAACAAGCTCAAGGGCACCAAGCACCCAAGAGTAATAAGCTTCTCAACTTGTACCTTCCACGTATCACCGTGGAGAACTCAAACCGATGCACCAAATGCAATGGCAAGGGCACACGGAGTGCCCAAGTCCTTCTCTCTCAAATCCCACTGAAGCAACTAATGTTAGGAAGGAAAATGAAAGGAAGAATAAGAAGGAGAACACCAAAAACTCCAAGATCTAGATCCAAGGGGTTCCCCTCACATAGAGGAGAAAGGGATTGATGGAAATGTGGATCTAGATCTCCTCTCTCTTTTCCCTCCAAAACTAGCAAGAATCCATGAAGGGATTGAGAGTTAGCAAGCTCGGAGAAGGTCAACAATGGAGGAAGAATACAAGCTTAAGAGATAAGGTTCAATGGGGAAGAAGACCCCTTTTATAGGACCTCCCGAATCCAACCGTTATGTGCTCAGGTCGTGCACAAGCGGTACTACCGCTTGGAGGAGCGGTACTACCGCTTAGCACAGTCAAAACAACCCAACGAGAGAGAAACACACGAGTTGAAGTTCTGCCAGAGAGGTAGTACCGCTCTGGGGAGAGATAGTACCGCTTACCACTTATAAGAGGTACTACCGCTCAGGAGGAGAGGTAGTACCGCTTACCACTAATAAGAGGTACTACCGCTCGGGTGGAGAGATAGTACCGCTTATCGCTTATAGGAGGTACTACCGCTCTACTACTGCTCTACTACCGCGAAATCTGACACGAAAAGACGCATCCCCAGAAGCAGCGGTACTACGCGCGGCACAGGGCCGCGGTACTGCCGCTTACAAGCGGTACTACAGCTCTAGAGAGCAGTACTACCGCTTGAGGCTTTCAGGAACACAACAGAGAAAACAGAGGATGCAATAAAGCCTAAACTGCCACAACTTCTGCTTATGAACTCCGAATTGAGCAAACTCAAGCTTGTTGGATAGAAGACGACGAGTAGCATCCAACATCGGCTGATTATAGTAAGAAGTGGCAGGGGAGGTATGCCTAACAAATAGAGGAGAGAAACCTCCAACAGAAAAGAACCGACATAACCTCCAACATCGAAAACATCATAGAAGATGCACATGAACTCCGTTTTCGACGAACTCGAGCTTGTCAAGAAGAAGACCACAAGCTCTAAAACTCACAATGAGAAACACCAAACACTAACCAAGAAATATGATGCAAGGATGCAATGGTTTGAGCTCTCTACGAACAATATGATCAAGCTACTCATCGAGAGCCCCCCTTGATAGTACGGCAATCGATCCAATAACCCAGTCTCCCAACTACCACTATGAGACCGGTAAAATAAAAAACCTATCAAGGGCAAACTTTTGTATTGCACATAGTCCACTTGAGCTAGATGATGACGATCTTGACTTCCTCAAGTTGGACCACCTTTCTTGATTGTGTTGGCTCGATGAAAACTAGTTGGTTTCTCCCCCATACTCCACTATGGGTGAGCCACTCTTCGGTACATCTTCATAAATCCATTGTTATCATAATGGACGGCAAGCTTCAAGCATTTGATCTCATCATGATGCTCCACTTGTACTTGCACATCGCAACCTAACCCCATAAAGAACTCTCACAAAAACCATGGGTTAGCAAACAAAGCGTAATGGACAATGCTTACCATAC